TATTTATTTATTTATTTATTTATTCGATTTATATCCCACCCATCTGGTATATTCTACCACTCTAGGCATGTATAAATAAGAGATTTGACTTGTCATAAAGATTCTCCAAGAGCTGAGTCTGGAAATGAATATGCTACAGGCTTCTCAGGACAGTATTACCTGGAACAGAAACAGTGGATTGGTTTTTCCAACAATCAGTGTGACACAGTAGAGGTGGGTGGTTTGCTCTAGTTCATTTACCACTACAACAGGTATTTGGTGGTTCTGTGGCCCCCTGCAATGGTGGGTGCCCACTCAGAGGCAGTATCCCAGTTTCCTTGCCCTGCCTCCTCTGGGCTTTGCCTCCAAGTGGGCACCTGTTAGAGGGGGCAATGCATCAAACCACCAAACACCTGTTGCCATAGTAAATGAAACGGGATGAACTGTTGAACCAGCAGTTTGTGCCCGTCTCAACTTGCACAGTATAAAACAAAAACACTGAAGAGGAGGGTTGGCTGATATTTCTTTTTTCACAAGTGGCATGTTCTAAGAGTCCAGTTTTTCTAGCAAGGTTGCTAAACTTTAGGAAGCAGAGTAGAGGCTAGGTGATGCAAGCATCTGCCATTTCTGGAGATGACCAACAAATAAGAAAATCCAGAACAGGTAAGGGAATGTTGTTCCTGGAGGTGTTTTGTGGGCTGCATCGTTCCCCTCTAGTGCAGTAAGATGGGTGAATCTCATTGGGCTGCTTTACTGGGTAGTTTTTCACAATATTTTCTCTGTGTGAGGGGTTGGTATTGTGGTTATTTGCATCAGTCCCCTCTAGTCAAATGGGACAGGTGAATTTTGCTGGGTTGTTCAGCTCAGAAGTCACAATTCTGGGCTGTTTTCTGTAGTACTGTATTGATTTTCTAAGCAGAACAGGTACCAGAATGTTTTTCCTGGGGGCACATTGTGCCTCAGTGCATTCATCCACTCTTGTTGGAAGCAACTGGTGAATCTGGGTGGGCTGTTCTACTGTTTTCCCCCAAAACTGATTTTCTGCCCAAGACAGATACTGGAATGTTGCCCCTGAAGAAATGATTTTTGGCTCAGTATTTCTGACTCATGTAGTCATGCATGTGTTGTGAATTTGGTTGGATTATTCTACTTGGAAGTTACTGTTCTCGACCAATGTTTTGGTGAGTTTTGGAGCAATAAGGGGTTAATTCAGTTTTAGGTTTGAGGTCTAAAATATTGTTCTGATGTTTGTTCATCACATCCCACTATTTTTGGCCTCAATTGTTATCAAGAAAACCCCCCATTCTACTATTCTATTCCCTCCCCAGTGTTGATCTGATCCCAATCAAAATATATGTCGCATGCTATCAATGTCCTCTTACAAGAGCCGGCCTTAAGTGATCTTAAGGGAATGAACATATTCTAGAGTCCACACATTTCTTCTTCTGTATCTTCTCAGGGAAATAATGATTGATGATGTGATTAGGTGTAAGAACATAATCCTGTTTCTGTTTTTGAAGAATGCTTAGCATAGTGGTCATTCTTGTAAAGTTAGAAAACTGATGAAACACCAAAACCATTTAAAACCTCCAGTTTGAAGACGTGTGTCTTCTCACTCCTCCTAAAAGAAGCAAGAGTGGGAATGGATGGCTACCATGGCAGCGTTGCCCTCTAGAGCCTGAGGGCAACAGAGGAGAAAACCCTCTTCCCCATGCTTGCCAAGAGGGCCTCCAGCAGTGATGGCATTCTCAAGAAGACCTCAACTGAAGTCTTAATATCTGGAGACCTTCACAATGGGACCGAAAGTCCTTTAGCCCTCCGTTTAGGCAGGTTTTTCCTTTTGAGATTTTATCTAGCTTTCCCTTTTTATGATAACATTGCTCTTTTGGCGGTCAGGGTCTAGTAAGGTCTCTCTAATGACGGAACTGCTGCAGAATTTTGAATTTGTGGCCAAATCCTCTCCCCACCCCCAACCCATCCAAATGAAACACTGTGGCCCAGAACAGCAACTCCCAAGTAGGATAATCGAACCAAATTCATGACACGCGGGACTCAATGGAAGAGATGCAGCAAGCCAGAAGTCATCCACAGGAACTCCATTCCCAATTCCAAGCAAAAATAAACTGATATTGCAAAAAACAGCACAGAACAGTGACTACTGAGTAGGGAAGTCCAACAAAATTCACCTGCCCCATCTGGCTAAAGGGATCTGATGCAACCAGTTCCAAAATGCCCATTGGACCAATGTTCCACTACCCACTCCATAAAGAAATCAATATTGGTGGTGGTGGGGCGTTTGGGGAGGGGGGACCTAGAACAGCAACTTCAGAGCAGGACAGCCCAATAAAATTCATCTGCCCCGCCTAATGAGTGGGGACTTATGAAGTAAGCCACAAAATAGCCTCGGGGACTATGTTCCAGCACCTGTTCGAGTCAGAAAGTCTGTATTGCACAAAATAGCCCGGAACGGCGATATTCCCTTGTCGCATCAGATGAGAAGAGAATGGTGTAAGCAGGAAGCGCATTCCAGGACCCATTTCGAGCGGGAAGGCAAAATTATGCAAAACAGCTCAGACTGGCAATTTCCAAGTAAGACAGTGTGCCAACGTTCCCCCGTCCTATTGCAGTCGAGGGGAGAGATGCAACCAGCCACAGTACAGCTCCAGGAATCCCATTGCAGGGCCTGTTCTGGGTTTAAGTGCCACATTTTCAAAAAGGCCCACTGGTGACAGCAACCAATTCATTAGTCACACATGACTGGAAGGGGGTAACACATCAAGCCACTGACCTTCCACGGGGACCACAGTTCACATAGAAAAACAGATGGTGGCTGTATGGTTTCTGCCAGCCTTCCCAGGCCCGTCACTTTGGTTTAGCTTGTAGAAGAGAAGACTGAGAGGCTGTGTGTTGTTGTTCTGCGCCTTCAATTATTATTTATTATTATTTATTTAATTTATATCCCGCCTATCTAGTCGTGGTGAACTACTCTAGGCGGCTTGGTTTCGTTTGTCTTGTGCAGCAGTTGATTTTCATTGAACTGCCCTATCCGGAAGTCGATCTGGACTGATTCTTGCAATATGGATTTTGTGCCTAGAACAGGTACAGGAATGTTGTTCCTGTGGGCGTTTGGGGGCTGATTGCCTCTGTCCCTCCTTGCTAGATGGGAAGACGGAATTTCATTGGGTTGTTGTTCTCAGAAGTCCCTGTTCTGAGCTGGTGGTTTGTTTTTTGTTTTTTTTTTTTTCAATATTGCATTCAGGCTCAAAAGTTCCTGTGGGCTTTGGGGGCTGATTGCCTCTGTCCCTCCTTGCTAGATGGGAAGACGGAATTTCATTGAGTTGTTGTACTCCAAAGTCCCTGTTCTGGGCTGGTGTTTTTTTGCAATATTGATTTTCTCTCTCTCTCTCTCCTGAAATTGGTCCTGGAATGTTGTTCCTGAGGATGATTTAGGGCTTGCTGTATCTTGTCTAATCTAGATACACAAGTATCATGAATTTGGTTTGGTTATGCTACTCAGAAGTCGCTGTTCCAGGCACTGTGTTTCATTCTGGTGGGTTTGGGGACACCCGTTGGTGTGGCAACTGAGGCGGCTGCTATAGGTTTGCCCCCAGAACAGATCCAAGCTCTTGGGAACTGGTGGTCAAACTCTTACAGGTCTTAGATTTGCGGACTTCCTGCATTACACCGAGTTTTCCCCTTTTTCTTATTTCTGCCTACAGGTTCCCTGAAGCATATTTGGTTGTTGGTACACAGTACTGGGCGGGATGGCATACGAGTCCCACTGGCTGAGGACAGCATCTTAGCCTGGAGGACGCAGTGCACCGATGTGGTTGTGATGCAGAGGCATGTGACGGGAGCAGCTCATGCCTTTTCTCTGGCGCTGTTTGAGATATCATGGGCCACTTGATGTGCTGCTGTTCCATCTGGGTGAAAGTGACCTTGCTAGCCCCACAGTTTGGACTAAACACTCTCAATGCAGGAAGATCTATAGTTGGCCCATGACTGATGATGTGGTCTGACCTCCTTGAGAAACAGATATGGAGATGAACCTGTGACCCCAGGAGGGTGAATATTGCTTGTCAGAAAGTGATCTGGGTCGTGGGTCACTTGGTGACATCTTCTGGTGGTGGTTGGATCAAGCATCTGGACATTTCTCATCAGATGGCCCCTTAGTTCCGACCAGATGGGGTGCATCTTTCAGATAGGGGACAGGATGTCTGTCCTGGAGATGTTAGGGGAGCCAGGGTGGATCAGTTGCAACTGCAGTTCTGTGGTGGGAACTGAGCCTTGGAGCATCGGGATGGACCCAGGTGGCCGGAGGACAGCAGGTGGAGACCTGCATATCCTGGCTGGTGTGGAAACCAGGAGTGGAGCTTGGTGGGGTTGCAGGAGCTCAGTTTTGCCCCTGAGCAGCAGGGAGCCATGGCGTGGCATACACTTCTGTGGTCTCCCAGGGTCTGCTATCCTGGGTTATCTCTCAGAGGGATCTGGGAAGGCGATTGCTTACTTTGGGGCCTTCGGTCTCCCAATAAACTGGATCCAGTCCCAATGTTAGACCAGATAAAATTGCTGCTTTAATCAATAAAGCTGTGGCCTTTTCCTTCCAGTCATGTGTGTGGTGTGTTCATTCCTAAGACTGGCCTGCTCAGCTGTCGGCCAACAAAGCTAAGCTAAATTTGGAGGTATGTTCTAAAATCACCCTGTTGTACATATTCGATAAGTAGCAATGTAACTGGACAACAAAATAATTAATTTCAAGTTTATTAACACCAGCAAGATTAATGATAGCTAGGAACTGGAAGATAAAGTATGTTTTTTCAATTAAATGAATGGTATAAAGAGATTTATAATATAACTCTTAATGACACATTCACGTGTGAGATATAATGAAGGGATTGATAAATAAGAATATTTTTACAAATATTTGGGCCTAATTTACTGATTTTATATTTATGAAAGGGGAAGAGATGTATACAGTCACAAGAATCAATACAATTTTGGAAAGGGGCTCCATAAAGGCAGGAAAAATCAGTTATATCTCTGAATGGTCCCAGTCAGGGGCCTGGAATGTTTTGTATAATTCTTTTTTGTTGTTTTGCGTGAACAGTTTCTTATAGGTTTGTTTGCTTTTGTTTATGTTTTTATGAATAATTATTTTTTAAAAAATCAAAGAGCAATTTATTTGTGGAGGCCACAGTGTCCAAGCCTGTCTTTCTGTGTGGCTCTCTGGTTTCCACTTTGCAGATACCAGGCATGGTTCCCTCATGTTAGTTTTTGCTAAAAAGTCCCCTGCTAATTTATAATACTGTTTCCCTTTGGAAATTTCCACCATCATGACCCTTCTGTCTGCTTTCAGAGTAGGAAATAAATGTCCTAGTCTCTTCACTGTAGATTCCAACCAGTATTTCATCTTGTTTTCCTAACACTTAATATTATACTTGTTACAGCTGCTTGAACCCCATTTCCCCATTTGCAATGACTGATGCTCTTTTTCAAAGCCTATTTTTCTGTGTTGGTCAGCCCTTACAACAATTGTGTGCCATCAAGTCTATTCTGATTTATGGCTGTTAGCATTTAGAACCACAGCAGAAGATTTTCTCCTTACGAAGGTTTGGACCAGAAGCTCCAGCGTAGTAAGGCACACAGCAAGACACCAGGAATAAGTGCAGAGAACATTTACTTATTGTACATATTTACACAGTGCTCACAGGAACATAAATATAGGCATTCAGCAAACAGACAGAACATAAGCATGACAGTCAAAATAGAATTGTGAAGGGCATATTAACCAGTCTCTTAATTTATACTACCTCCAACAAATCAAATTAGTGGTTCACCTCATGGTAGTGAATTCCACATGGCTGTGTCCTTATTGTCCTGTAGGCAGTGACTAAATAACTCCACCTGCACTAACCAATTGTTAATTACATTTCTTCTTCTTAAAGACCTAACAATGCAACCCTTTCCAGTTTTTTCCAGGTAGAGAATACACAGAAGTGGTTCCCGATTCCCTTCTATTGGGTGCACCCTAGAAATATGCAGCTTGCCGAAGGCCACACAGGCTGGCTCTGCTTTGCGGGAGGCACAGTGAGGAATTGAACCTCCAACCTCTGGCTTGAGCTAAGTCACTAAGCTATCCAGCCAGCTATTCCTAAATGTATTTCTTTTTGCCTATGGTAAACCTTACTTACAATTACATTTTAGTTTTGCTTACATTGTCTGTGAGGTTCTCCCCATAAGGAGCCAACCCTCCAGCCCTCTTGAATACCAGCTGTCAGTGAATCTCAGGAAATAAAGTGATAAAACTATACATTGTGTTCATAACTGGTTGATCTTATGGGAAATGTTTTCCAGACAAGCACAAAATCATTTTGCACCACAAGCAATAGATGTGAACAGATATTTAATCTAACGTCTTCCTACCAACCAGTTTCCAGAAAGCCCCCTTTACATCTCTGTTTCTCAGGCTGTAGATCACAGGATTAAGCATAGGGGTCAAACCACCATAGGCCACAGATATGATCTTTGATTGGTCAGACACAGATTTCTCCTGTGGCCTCAAGTACATGATCATGATGGTCCCATAAAAGACGCTGACCACAGCCAGGTGAGAGCTGCAGGTAGAGAAAGCTTTCCTACGACCCTGTGCTGAGCGCATGCGATGGACAGCCAGGCCTATGCGTCCATATGTCAAAACTATGAAGCCAAAGGGTGGTAGCAGGACAAAAAGACTAGAAATGTGAAGGAATAGCTCACTGGTGTGGCTCTCGGAGCAGTCTAGTCTGAGGAAGGACTGCAGCTCACAGACGAAATGGTTGATGACGTGTTGGCCACAAAAGTCTGTAGGTTGAAGTAGGGCATTGATCAGGGTTAACAGGAAAGCAAGGCTCACCGATGCCCCCACCAGACCAATGCAAACTGGCCAATTCATGATTTGTATATAGTGTAGTGGGTGGCATATAGCTACAAAGCGGTCATATGCCATGATGGCTAGAACAAAGCATTCTGTTGAGACAAGGAGAAGGCCAAGATACATCTGGGACAGGCATCTGGTGAAAGAAATCATGGGCATGTCGATGAAGCAGTTGGCCAAGGTCTCAGGAACTGTATTGTTGATGAGAGTGAGGTCTACGAAGGAGAGCACACAGAGAAAGAAATACATGGGGGTGTGAAGCCGGGAGTCCACAAGAATCAGGAGGACAATGACACCATTCCCAAGAACACAGACGAGGTACAGCACCAACAGAAACCAAAAGAAGACAGCCCGAGCTTTGGGGTGTTCAGATAGTCCAATTAAGATGAACTGTGTCACCATGGTTTCATTAAAAGTGGCCATTAGTTGATTTTCTGAGCTTTGTCGTTCCCTGTAGGCAAAAATGAATGAAGTGTTGTTAAAGAAGAAGTAAAAGATAACTGAGATGGTTTATAATATTTTTTAAAAATTGGGCCTCTTTCTTGTTTGCTCAGAAGAATGTTTTTAAGGTCAGAATCCAGCATAGAAGACATGCATACTGAAGTTCATGGCTTGCTATCTACTTTCATACATTACAGCACCATGGGAATCAGGTTTTCAGGGGTGTATTATAACACCTAGAATATCAAAGATAAATAGCAGAAATTCAGGTGGAAACATGAGAGTTCAATATAAGATTTCATACATTTCCCATGGACATACATTCCCTATGGAGATCAGAATAAGGTATAAAATACCTTGTGTGTATTGGACAAAGATAGTATGATTTTGAATATCTTTAAAATTTAAACTCTAAGACAGTTTTTATTACTTTTAATAGGTTGACATCTTGCTGTTTAGCACAGTAAGTTGCTCTAGAGCAGACCCATTGAATCAGTGGAGATTTAGTGAGTCAATGCCTCTGTTAAGTTCCAGAGACTGAAATAGGCCTACTCTTGTTGCCGTTTGTTATGCTCTGTAACAGGACTTCAGCTATAGTATCTGTTTTTTTTTGGAAAAAAGATTGTTTCATATGATGATTTCCATAAGAAGCACAGAAGGTAAATGTATGGAATTGAAACAGATTCTGTAGACTACATATTTGGAATTAAGAGAGATCCCAGGGAGTGGTCTCTGACATTGTGACACATGTTTGTTTAATACATTTACCCAGGCAATCAGGACTGAACAAGGACTAAGTGCAGTCAGTAAGTTTGAAAAATATAGGAAATGTTCCATACTATTCTGAATGTTCCATACTATTCTGAATAGAGGAAAAAATGTTGCCACTTTTATACCAGGAACTGGCAGCATTATACTGGTATCATTCAACTCTTTTATCCATATATGGTCCAATTGTTGAAATGGATATTCGTGCCAGCTGTCTGAAATGAGGACCAACAGTAGAGGTTGGGAAGGTTTTGTCTTCTAGATATTTGGGATTTTAGTTCTCAGGCACCCCAGCCAGCATGACCAGAAGTAGGGGATTATGGGAGTCATAGTATGTCTCCTTGGACTATCGACTTTTCTCTAGGAATGTGTTTCCATGAGTTGTGTGCCTCAGTTCCCTCCCTTTGGGGTCTTACTTTGTAATTTGAAATTGTTGGCCCTATTCCATCATTGCTCAGCCTGGAGTTGTCAGTGGGGTGGCTAGTTCTTCCCAGTTCCCTAATCACTTTTTCCTCACAAGGAGGAACAAGAAGGAAGGTTCCTTCCTGTGTATAGCATTACCTCCAAGCATAAAACCAACAAGATCTCATTCCTGGCAAATACAATGAGGGAACTATTACTAGTCTTTCCTCTCTCTCCATCTTGCAAAGTTGGATTACAGATCAATTGAACAGGGCTTGTGTTTCTCAGCATGTTGTCCTCTGAAACACACTGTCATCTCTTAGTTAAAACTGAAGAAAATTATATACAGCCAAAAACCTAAGTGACTAGGAAAAGTAAGAGTTTCTCACCATTCAAAGAACTTTTCACCTGACATGTTTCTGACCAGGTTGGAAAGCAGAGGGGCTTGGTGGAGAGAAAGATGTTATCCCAAGTTGGTCAATTAAGACTAATTTAATCACAACATGAACTAGAAGTTGAACTGCACCATCCTACCAGATATTCATTGTAAGGACAAAAAGAATGCCAGAGCAAAGAATCATAACAGAGGCTTTGTCGTTGGACTAATTAATTACCCCCTCTAAAAAATTTCAAGGCACATGGTTTGAGATTTAATATTTTAACGCTTCTTATCTCTGAGGACAATCGGACCTATCAGGGAACACAGGGAGCCGAGTGTGCTGCTCTGTATCCTTGAACTCCTCTGATGCCTTCTGATGCCATTGATTAGTTAGTTGGTCTCATTGCTAGCACTCAAGCAAGAGTCAGTTCCCAGTCTAAGGAAGATTTGTATATGAAATATTGGGAGATTACTCTCCCCAATATTTTGCCCTGTTCAGCAAAACATGTTTGACAAGCCTGGCATATATTTGCTTCTTTACAATTGTTATTTGTTGGTTTGTTTCATGCATTTTTATACCGCCCCTGCAGTGAAAATCTGGGTGGCTGTATGCACAAAACATAAAGAACTAAGAACAAACCCAATTCCCCCACCCCCAGTGTTAGTTTTCCCAATGATGGGAAAAGGATGGGCAGAGGATCAAGATTGTTCAAATGAAGTGTACAATTCAGTCTAAACTAAGGACATCCACCACTCTACAATGACATGTGGGTAGGTCACAAGAAAATCTGTGCGATACGCAAGTCATACCTTTCTTCAAGACGATAAGAGTTCAGTTGGATCTGCCAATTGACATCAATGAATCTTTCTTTGGAAGGTATTCACACAGTGTCCTTTTGGAGTTTGGTGAGGCCGGTGAAGCTTACACCTGCAGGTTCCACCATACTATAAGGGCAAGGAATTGAAAGAAGGGAAAGCTCAAGAAGGCTCAGTTCAGAAGAAAGAAAACTGTAGGCGAAAAGAAGGGAAGTGTCCTAGTGTTTTCTTTCTTCCCCGAAAGCACTTTGGGAGAGAGGTTCATGCAGAAAGGAGTTTCTGCAAACTCCTTTGCAGAAGCCTGAACAAACAGACTCATTCTTTGGGAGAGAAGATAATGCTTCTGCTCACATGCATTCCCCAATGGTTAACAAGTCAAGCCGCTCCTCTTGGTCCTTCCGGGTTAATAATGGGCAGGGCCCAAAGGAGATTCCAAGGACTGGCCTTAATTGAGCTCCAAGGGAAATCAGTTTGTATCAGCATGTCAGGATAATGATCTATTGTTAATTCTGGATCATCATCTGCCATTCTCTCCCCCTGGTTCCAAGAGCAATGCTAGATGATGTACTATTGTTCTGATGGAGAGGTCTGGGGAAAAAACCATGACTTCTATGAGGTCAGCAGCAAGCAAGTTTCTCATTCTGCTCTCCTGAACTATTTGTCCACTTCTTAGCTACTTCTTTTTACACAGTTTGGTCCAAAGGGTCTCCATGAAGAGCTTCTGACCAGGACTGTAACATACAGAGAAAGATGGCTTTTCTGCAGGGAGGATGTGACACTTCTCTCCATAGATGGGAAAGCCAACAGGAGCATTATTTCATGTAATGCCACATTTCCCTTCCATGTATGCATCTCCACATCATGTGGAGGTTGACGAATATTCTTTTGTATTTGGAGACAATGAACATACCAATGGAGGAAAGACACACAACCTTATAAAGAGACAAAATGCAATGAAACAGGAAGCTTGTTGCCATCCTCTGAACTTGTTCCAGTTTGTTGGCATCTTTCTTAAAGTGTTGTATCTAGAACTGGACACAGTACTGAAAATGAGGCCTAACCAATGCTGAATTGAGGAGGATGAGTACTTGACAGAATTTGGAGACTGTACTTCAGCTAATGCAGTCTAAAATACTGCATTATTTTATTCTTCTTCTTTTTTCAGCCACATCACACTGTTGGCTCATATTCAGCTTTGATTGACAACTGTTCCAAAATCCTTCTTGCGCATAGTGTTTCTGAGCCAAGTATTTCCCATCTTGGAACTGTGCATTTGTTCCCCCCCACAGGTGTAGATCTTCACACTTATCCCTGCTAAATTTCATTCTGTTGCTTTCAACCCAGTGCTCAAACCTAAAGATCTTTTTGACTTTTGTTCCTGTCTTCCAAGGTATTAGCTATTCCACCCAATTGTGTGTCATCCGCAAATTTGATAAGTATTCCTTGAGCATCTTCTTCCAAGTCATTAGTAAAAATATTGAAGCACACCAGGCCCAGGACTGAGCCTTATGGTACCCCACCTGTTATTCCTTCCAATGTGAGAAGGAGCATTGATAAGTACCATTGTGTAACCAACTGTGTACCCATTTGACACTTGCACTATCCAGCCTACATGTAGTTAGCTTGCTAATCAGAATATCATGGGGTGCTTTGTCAAAGGCTTTGCTGAAGTCAAGATATATTATGTTTACAGTATTCCCACCATCTAGCAGGGAAGCTATACATTTTTTTAAAAAAAATGAAATATGATTAGGCTGGCAGGATTTGTTCTTGACAAATCCTTGTTGGCTTCTAGTTATCACTGCATTGTTTTCAATGTGTTTGCAGAATGAGATTGGTGTTTCATGAGATTGGTGTTAGGCTGACCAGTCTGTAGTTCACTGATTCTTGCTTTCTGCCTTTTTTGAAAATAGGGACATTAGCTCTCTTCCAGTCCTCCAATATTTCACCCATCCTCCACGATTTCAAGAAAATAATAGTATTGATTAGAGATGGGGATGAACCAGCAAAATGGTGGTTCATCTTGGTTCATGGGTCATCAAGGTTGACAACCCATAAACTACGAATTTGCCCCCAGTGGCCCGATGAACAGCAAATTGATTTGTTGGTTCGTTGGGTCTTTTTACACTGGGTGCCCCACCCCCTTCTCATTGCTGTGTCACTTCCCAATCCCTACCTTATCCTGCTGCCTACTCCTGCTCTGCTGCTGCTACCTCCACAACAGTTTCCATTTCAGCAGCCTAGCTTCCATTTCATTGTAAACAAAGGGGGAGGGGATTTCCTTCAGTCAGGCCTCCACACTCTTCCTATGCCCACATGGGATCTGTGAGGGCAGAGGCAGATGGTAGAAGCTGGACTGAAAGGAATCGTGCGCCCCCCTCACTGTTTGAAATGACAGCAGGGGGTGACTCTCTTCAGTCAGGCTTCCTCTCTCTGCCTATGCCCACGTGGATCAGCTGGTACACATGGGTATATGCAGAGAGATGAATGGACAAAGCTAAAGGGTGTATTTTCTTCTCTTTGTATTTTTGGGGGGTCTCCAGATCTCATGAATAGGGTGCAGCTCACATACTTGGTCTTGTCTGGTGATATGCAGGAGAACGACCATAAGAAACAT